GATGAGAGATTTTTTGTAATCCATATTTATTAAGGAATTTATCTATATCCTCTTCATTTTGTGGTTCTTGAGAATAAAGTTTTTTAAAATAACTCAGAAAGCAGTTTCTAATCTCATTGGGTTTAGATATGTTCTTTCCATCCACTTCTAGGCTTGTAACTGTATTTAGTTTCTGCCTTTTCTTCAATTGCCATGCCAGAAGTTTGCCACATTTATCTGCCGATTCAAACGTTTTTTGTTTCATTTGCTTTATCTTCCATTCAATCTCTGTTCATCAATTCCATATATTGTGTTTGATATAACTTAATCTCTCTCAGAATCTCCTGGGACTTTGGTTTTGATCTTAATTTTTTCTCTCCTTTTATCTTTTCCAAAATCTTTTCCTTTTCTCATTCTGCTTTCTCTTTTTTATTGAGTTTTGTTGAATCAAAAATCCTCGCATCACAGCTTTACTTGCGTCCCAGATCACTCTTTTTTCCACATCAGCCTTTAGATTTATTTCAAAATAGTCCTTTAAAGTTTTTTGGGCCTTCATGTGGATCTCCTTGTCTCGAAACAGGGTGTCATTCATCCTCCATCTAAATTGACCAGTTGTTGTAAGTTTCATTTCCATCTTCACGGCGTTATGGTCGGAGCAAGTTTTTGGGCAGATTTCTACCCTCCCTAATCTTTGGAGCCATCCCACTAGTGATCCAAATTTGATCAATTCTGGTCCAGGTCGTCATCGCATGTGAGAAAAAAGTTCCCTCTCTCTCAAGAGGGTTCCTTGTTCTCCATATGTCTATTAAGTCCATATTTTCCGTCATTTCAAAGAAGGTCTTCGGAAGTCTCCCTTCCTTGGAGATTGTCAGTCTTTGTGCCTTGTCCATATTTGTAGAAACTACACCATTCATGTCTCCCATGATTATCATATTGTAATCCAGATAGTCCGTCAGAGTTTCATGGAGTTTCTTGAAGAATTCCGCCTTGCCTTCATTTGGTGCATAGATTCCAACTATTAAGAATTTTTCTCCTTGTACTTGTATTTCAACTGCCAGATATCTTCCTTGCTCGTCTTTAAACATCATTTTTGGGACCCATTTCTCTTTTACATAAATCACAACTCCTCTTTTCTTAACTTTATCCGATGAGATGAATTCTTGTCCTAATCTTTTATTTGTGAGTAATTTCCTGTGTGCTCTGGTTACATGAGTTTCTTGTAAACAAATCACGTCCAATTGTTCTCTTTTCAAAGTATGAAACACTTGGCGTCTCTTCAAAGGCATGTTCAGCCCATTACAATTCCAGCTAAGGAATTGCAGGGCCATCTTATTATTTTTCTGTTACTCCTCCAACCGCTCCAAGTTGTTGCTCTTCCTCTGATGGTGCTGGGTTAAGTCCAAACGATAGATTAAGAATGTCTAGTGCTCTCCTTTGTTCTGCAATTGGGTCCACGTTCCTTTCTGTAAGTCCTCTTGGTTTCTCTCCAGGAATCTTTCTTTGTCTTGTATTGTCTTTATTTTCACCTTCTTTCCCTTGTAGTCAAAAGACAGTCCTTGTGGGAACTCCCACCTAAAAAGGATGGTGTTCTTCTTCAGCAGGTAAACCAAATCCTTATAGAAGGTTCTCAACTCCAAATATGTTTAGGGATGTCCTTGAAATCTGTATGGGTGAATTTTCAATTTGCAAGGCCTTTTGGTAATGTAATTTTAATATTTTGTCTCTTTCTTCCTTCGATCTGAGGGTAATCAAACAGTCCCTCGGGGTCTTTCTGTTCTGTCTTCGGCCCAGTCTAAATGCTGTTGTAATCTTAAATTCTTCCTCCTCCAAGTCTTCCCAGAAATCAGCAAACTCTTGTGTTAGAAACTCCGCTAAGTTGTCTCCTTCGCTCTCGGGAATTAATCTTAATTTCAGATTTCTTTCCTTCCTCTGTAATTCCCACAAAGCCAAGGTTGCATCATGTTCATAAACTTTTTTAGCAATCGGTTCCAAGTTCTCTTGAGTCTCTCCAGCAATAGTTCTAGCTTCCTCTGCAATCTTACGTGTTGCAGAATTTTCTTGGACCAGCCTGTTTATAGATTCTGTGTTCAAATCCAATCTTGCTGTTAATTCTGTTAATTTTTGTGTATTTTCTGTACTCTGCTTTGTCAAGGTCTCCAAAGACTGGTTTATCTTGAGTAGCGCTTGTGTCACTGACTCCATGGAGGCACTGTCACTTTTTCTTGTCCTGTTTTCCTGTGGGGTTGCACCAGTAATTGAGCCTCTTTTTTTTGCTGCTGTTGCTGGTGCTGTTGTTGCTTAGCTTTAGCTCTTGTGGTTATCTCTTCTGGGCCACTCATGTCCCAAGGTCGTTCCCAGGAAAACAATCCCCTGATGGAAAATTCCACTATCCTAGGCTATTACAGCCGTTACTTTGACCCTCTAGGGGGAGCAAACCAAAATGTCAAGTATGGAGACAAAGAAGTTAAAGAAAGAATATCAGGAGGCTTGTAATATCTGTTACAGCACTTTTCCAATGGATACTATTTCAGCATACTCCAATTACTGTAACAACAAAGTCCAAAACTTTGTATCATGCAAAGCTTCAACTATGTAACTTTCCCAGAAGTTTAAAAGCAGTTCAGTGCACTAATGTCTTATTTGGCAGTCCGCTTCAGGGCATTAAAACAGCAGAAGGCTTTTTCCTTTTTTAGATAAAACATGCAGTTCTTAATGTCCCTTTTTCCTCCCCTCTGCCCTGCTTGCTAGAGGGGAGATCCAAATCCGATGTCAGGTTAAGTCGTCAAAAGATATCTCATACGGATGCAGCTCTAAATTTCCGTTGCTTTAGCTGTCATGCAGTCGGGGGAAGGCAGACTTCCTTAATTTTTACCTTCCCCGTTTTCAGCCAAATTTTCTTTAAAGAAGTTCCAAATTAGCGTTCAGTCTTACTTACGGAGTATTTCAGTTTCAGATTAACAGGAAGGAATCGGCGCTCTCCGTCAATGGCGACGCGGCTTCACCCTGCGGGCTGGGTAGCGACTCTCAGCACCGCGCTCTCCCGATGCCGTTCCGGAGCCTTTAAAAAGGCTCTTTCTGCAGTAAGGGGGGGCGCTTCTGGTGCCCACTGAGTCTCCTTGTTCACAGGCTTCAGCGCCTGTGATTTTAGGGGTCCCCCGCTTGCCGTAGCGGGTCAGACCCGAACTCGCAGAGCAGTCCTCCTCCGGAGCTCGGAAAGAGGACCGCCATTAACGCTGGCGCCGACCGGAAGTAACCCTTCTGTGTTTTAAACAATTGTGTGCTTTGAGACACAAACAAGGTGGAAGTGGGAAGAGGCAGAGACCAGGTTGGCTATCACAAGGAACACCTGACTTGGAAACTTTTTAGGGGCCTGGACTGTTGGCTGTGGACTGTTACTGTTGAGAAGTTTCTTGGTTGGTGTGGTTTCCTTTGGCCATAACTTGATGATGGCCTAAAGCGCAAATCCCCATATGATAGTCCTTAGTTCTGAAAGGAAGTTATGAAGTAAAGTATTGCACTTGGGCAAAAAAAAAAATGAGAGGCACAAATACAAGATGGGTGACACCTGGCTTGAGAGCAGTACATGTGAAAAGGATCTAGGAGTCTTGGTTGACCACAAACTTGACATGAGCCAACAGTGTGACGCGGCAGCTAAAAAAGCCAATGCAATTCTGGGCTGCATCAATAGGAGTATAGCATCTAGATCAAGGGAAATAATAGTGCCACTGTATTCTGCTCTGGTCAGACCTCACCTGGAGTACTGTGTCCAGTTCTGGGCACCACAGTTCAAGAAGGACACTGACAAACTGGAACGTGTCCAGAGGAGGGCAACCAAAATGGTCAAAGGGCCTGGAAATGATGCCTTATGAGGAACGGCTAAGGGAGCTGGGCATGTTTAGCCTGGAGAAGAGGAGGTTAAGGGGTGATATGATAGCCATGTTCAAATATATAAAAGGATGTCACATAGAGCAGGGAGAAAGGATGTTCTCTGCTGCTCCAGAGAAGCGGACACGGAGCAATGGATCCAAACTACAAGAAAGAAGATTCCACCTAAACATTAGGAAGAACTTCCTGACAGTAAGAGCTGTTCGACAGTGGAATTTGCTGCCAAGGAGTGTGGTGGAGTCTCCTTCTTTGGAGGTCTTTAAGCAGAGGCTTGACAACCATATGTCAGGAGTGCTCTGATGGTGTTTCCTGCTTGGCAGGGGGTTGGACTCGATGGCCCTTGTGGCTCTTCCAACTCTATGATTTCTATTGATTCTAAGATAGGTTGCAGCAGCATTTTTAAGAGTGCATTCCTCCCTTTATCACAGATTTATTGTGGGAATTTTCCAGTATGAAAGTCCCAGAGAATTGCTTCTTCTGGCCCAACAGAGAGGGCAAAGACAGAGGCAGCCCCGTGACTGCTGGTTTTTAAAGGAATTACTTCTTTCTCCAGGAACCAAGACCAGTTCACATCATTCAGATACAACAATGAAAACTAGTGATGAAAAATTAATGCTTGGAAACCACAATTGAAACCTAGCCTTGTATAGCGTAACAGCTGCAGTAATGATAAACCCAAATGCCTTTCTGAAAAGAGAGTTGCATATTGTCTTGTGGAATATGTTTATTCTGGTGGCACAGCACATGAAAGAATCTTCATGCAGGCCTTATTAATATGAATGCAATCTGTGCAAGGGGACAGTAGTTCTCTACAACTCTGCAGGTGCATGAAGGAGCGGCCAATCTATAGTAAGAATATTTTCTGGGATATAGGCAGGAGCAGACTGTTAAAATGCTGTTAGTCTTGAACCTCCAACATGACCTGCAGCGTTTTTCTTCCGATCCTTCATCCTCAATTTAATGAGATCCTGGCATATATTTTCAGTGGCGTTTAAATACAGGATGGAGAAAGATGCGTGGCATATTCAGGGAGATTTTTCTTTCCCTTAGGATATTGATATGATATTTAGCAAACATCACAGATATCCATGAAACTGACAGTGAAGCTCCTGGGGTAATTGAGGACACTGTGGAAAATGACTGATGAGAGCAGTCCTCACCCCCTGGCTGGAAGTTGTTTTGAGGACCTTGCAGAGGTGAGTTGGCCAAGCCATTCAGTTTGTTGTCTTGCTGAGCATGAGTGTCGTAGCTCAAAATACCTTACTGGATTAGAATTGTGTTTTTCTTGCAGTGGAGAGTCCCCTGCCCCACACCACCCTCCAACTCCCAGAGAGCAAAATGAGAATGGAACTTAGCACCTCATCCCCGCTTCAAGTGGCCTTTACTCACAAGTAACATGTCTGAGTATGGCTGCTATACTTCAAAAGGAGCCTCTGTGGTGGCCTTAGCTGCATTAGCTCTTTTTGCTGTCAGATCTATCTGTAAAAAATATGCCTGTACAAAACAGACTGATTAAATGCTTTCCCCTGCTGAAGGGGGCTAATGTGCTGCCTTCCAGATGTTTTTTGGTCTACAGCACCCATCATTCCTGATAGTTGCCCAGGTATATCAGAGTACATGTCCAGTATCAGAAGGAGCAGCAATGCTTTGAAGGTTGTTGTTGTTGTTGTTTAGTCGTTTAGTCGTGTCCGACTCTTCGTGACCCCATGGACCAGAGCACGCCAGGCACCTCTGTCCTCCACTGCCTCCCGCCAGTTTGGTCAAACTCATGCTGGTAACCTCAAAACGCTATCCAACCAGCTTTGAAGTTACTTATGCCTTAATGTCCTGAACTTCTTTGTTTCTTTTGCATGTAGTGGCCAAAATCTTACATTATCCAGATGTGTTTTCCAAATATTCCTACTGGCTAAATAATAATAATAATAATAATAATAAAAATTTTTTATTTATACCCCGCCCTCCCCAGCCAAGGCCGGGCTCAGAGCGGCTTACAAGCAATAATAAAAACAAGATGAATGATTACAACTTAAAAACAAAAATAAAATACAGCATTAAATAATGGACCATTAAAATACTAAAATGTAGCCTCATCGCAGGAGGAGAAGGAAAAGAAAAAAGAAAAAGAGGGAGGGAGGGAATCAAATTGGCTCCAAGCCAAAGGCCAGGCGGAACAACTCTGTCTTACAGGCCCTGCGGAAAGAAATCAGATCCTGCAGGGCCCTGGTCTCATGAGGCAGAGCGTTCCACCAGGCCGGAGCCAGAGTTGAAAAGGCCCTGGCTCTGGTTGAAGCCAATCTAACTTCCTTAGGGCCTGGGACCACAAGGGTGTTGTTATTAATGGACCTTGAGGCTCTCCGTGGGGCATACCAGGAGAGGCGGTCCCGTAGGTACGAGGGTCCTAGGCCGTGAAGGGCTTTAAAGGTCAAAAGCAGCACCTTAAATCTGACCCTGTACTCCACCGGGAGCCAGTGCAGCTTGAAAAGCACTGGGTGAATATGCTCCCATGGCAGAGACCCTGTGAGGAGCCTTGCTGCAGCATTCTGTACCCGCTGGAGTTTCTGGGACAGCTTCAAGGGCAGCCCCGCGTAGAGCGAATTACAGTAGTCAAGCCTGGAGATGACTGTCGCATGGATCACTGTGGCCAGGTCGGGGCGGGAAAGGTAAAAGTTGTCCACTCTATTAATGTATTCCAGTTATTTATTCATTACTTTTCAGAGCCCAATCCTCACAAAGTACTTACTGGGATGCAGTTTAAGAGATTTTCACATCTTTCTTCAGTAGATTTGAAATATCCAACTCCAGCCAGTCTTCAAGAGACACTGTTCAGATGAGGTGGTTGGGCTTCCATTACCCACATAACGGCAGAATCAATATAACCACCACCATCCATGTATAATTCTCAGTCCATCCAGCCCCATAATGTGCTTTTCCCTCTGTCCATAATGTACTTGGAATGCTACTCTCTTTTCCCAGGAACAAGCCTTTGACCCGTATGAGACCTTGTCCCAGGACATCCTTTCACCGCAATATCATGAACATTTTAATCACTTGATGGCTAAACCTGCTGTGGCTCTTCACTTCCAGGTAGGAATGGAATTACGTAGCTCTTTTGTAGTCTCTCAGCCTCACTCACCTCACAGAGTGTTTGTTGTGGGGGAGGAAGGGAAAGGAGAAGGTTAGCCGCTTTGAGACTCCTTAAAGGGAGTGAAAGGCGGGATATCAAATCCAAACTCTTCTTCTTCTTCTTTGTTTGATGAATGGTGGGGTTGCCATACATCCAGAATTTCCCGGACATACCTAGAATACTTTAGTGGGAAGGCTTGTCCGGGCAGAAATCTGCAAAAATGTCCAGGAAAATCTGGATGCATGGCAAGCCATGTCAGCAATGCCATTTTTGCTGATTTTCCTCAAAATAGCTTAACAACTTTGGCTCAACAACTTTTGTGTCTGGGTGTTCACTTTTTGAAATATGGCAACTCAATGAATGTGGTCAGAGCATCTTCCCCTCTGATTGTGCTTGTTAAAGCAATTGACAGGTGGAAAGAAGTATTCTTTTGGGAGGGAGTAAATAACTAAGCTCTTTGCGGCTGCTCCTTCTTGGATTTGTGGAAGGGGCCAGGCTGTTTCCCCCCTTGTCTGGGAGGCAAAGGGTGCAGTCTCTCACTGGATGGTGGCAAAGGTCAGAGTGTGCTTCCTTCAGCTCTGCTGTCCCAGAGAAATTATGTGCATTTGCATTGCATGTTGATGTTTACAACATGCAGGGGTAGCCAACATGGTACTCTCCAGATATTGTGAACTACAACTCCCGTCATTGCTTCCATTGGCCATGGTGACTTGAGCTGATGGGAGTTGTAGTTCAGAACATCTTTGACTACCCCAAGCTAAGTATTGATAAAAGTGTTGAAGAGCATAGGCCCAGATGGAGCCCTGTGACATCTCACTAAAACACTCTTCAGTTTGATGAGAAGCTATTGGATGTGCACTCCTTGAGGATGGTTTCTGATCTAGCTGTGAATCCTCCTGATAGTGGATCTTCTAGCTCCCATTTTCTATGAAATGTTTTTATTTAAGTACTGTGATGAGAATGAATAAAGAAAACAGAACAAAATACAGTATAGAGCAGTCATACAAGTTCATGACAAGATTAATACACATTTCATTGGTCTAATTATATCACGATCTATATCATAAAATAAATTTAAAAAGAGAGTTGCAGTGGGTGGGATTCCACTAATGAGGCCTGTGAGCAGAAGCACTGCACAGGGACTTCCTTCCCACCCGCATTAGCTCTGAACGGATCAGGTGAACCCCTGGAATGTTGTGCAGGGGGAAGAGGCAGAAGGATTGTTTCATCTGACAAGCTGAAGTGCTTGCCCTGACAGAATGAGCGCATTAGTGTGACGTTGAATTCTTCCCAAAATATATAGGAATGTATAAAATAGTTTATTGGGACGCAGGTGGCGCTGTGGGTTAAACCACAGAGCCTAGGACTTGCCGATCAGAAGGTTGGCGGTTTGAATCCCTGCGACAGGGTGAACTCCCATTGCTCAGTCCCAGCTCCTGCCAACCTAGGAGTTGGAAAGCACGTCAAAGTGCAAGTAGATAAATAGGTACCGCTCCGGCGGGAAGGTAAACGGCGTTTCGGTGCACTGCTCTGGTTCGCCAGAAGCGGCTTAGTCATGCTGGCCACATGACCCGGAAGCTGTACGCTGGCTCCCTTGGCCAGTAAAGCGAGATGAGCGCCGCAACCCCGGAGTCGGTCACGACTGGACCTAATGGTCAGGGGTCTCTTTACCTTTACCTATAAAATAGTTTGCCCAGGGTTCCATGTGTTGTGCTGTAGGCTCCATTAAGCAAGCAACCTGACCAAAAAGAGATAGGATTAACCTGGTAGGATTTATTTTTGTCAAATAATAAATTGCTCCTATTGATCACTGCATTGCTATCAAAATGCTTACAAATTGACTCGTTTATAATCTGTTCTCGTATCTTCCCTTGTAATGAAACTAGGCTGACAAGTCTGACGTTTTCCTGGTTCTTCCTTCCCCTTTTGAATATTGGGACAACGTTTGCCTGTCTCTAGTCCACTCCTCACCCTTTCTCAAAGTTGATAGTTCATCTGGCCCCCAAGGCTTGATTGCACAGTTCTTATCAGTCTTGAGCAGGGATCCTGATACCTCACCAGTCACACTACATGGGCAAGGTTGAACCCTGTTCCTCTTTTGGAAGACGGTGGAAGCCAAATAAGAGCTGAGCAGTTTCTGCTTTCTCTTTGCCACCTGTTAATATTCTACCATCCTTACTGAGCAGCAGGCCTTCCTTATTCCTTCTTGTTTCGAATACAGTATAGCTGGAAAATCCCTTTTGCTGCTCTTGGCACCCATTAGCAGCCTCAGTGCATTCTGAGCTCAAGCTTTCCTGACAGTCTCCTTGCAGGCTTTGTTCATTTGTCTCTATTCTTCCTTGGGGATCTGCTCTTCCTTCTATTTCTTAGAAGTGCCCTGTTGTTTGTATTTTCAACTCCTCTCTCATTTTTTAAAAAACGTGCCCCATTTCTCTCATTTAAATTGCTTTCCACTTAGGGCTCCTTAGCAGATCTAGCCATGGAGTCCTTAGGATATCCCTGAGCTTATTCAAATCGGCTTTTCTAAAATCCAAGGTACATATTTGACTACGTTCACACTGATTCTATGTAAGATCAGGCATTCCAGCATTGCATGGTCACATCCCTACTACTTTAATGTCATTGGCCAGCTCTTCGCCGCTATTGGTTAAGAGCGAGTCAAGGACAGCCAATCCCTTCATTCCTTCCTTCCTTTTGAAAGAGGATGCCTGGAATTTGTTCGGAGATTCCATGCTTGATAGAGTTTGTCTCCCAGCATATATCAGGGTACTTGAAGGCCACATGAATACTAATTCTTGCTTCTCTGAAACATCTGTCATTTCTAAAAGGAAGCCACAGCTTCCCCTTGTTTTGGTGCTTTGTAGAAGTCTCCAACCACAATATGTTTTTTTCTTGGTTAATTTTTACCCAGGTGCCTCCCATGGGACTACCTTGTTCGCTCTCTAGAATGTCTGTGTAGATGTACATATTTTTGACATATAGCACTAGTCCCCCTCCCTTCCTGTTGCATCCATTATTTTTGAACAATTTGTCCTTCCACTGCTACATTCCAATCATAAGAGTCATTCCTCCAAGTCTTAGATATACCTATCCTGTTATATTTACCTTCCTGTCCTGGGAGTTCAAGCTCGTCTTGTTTATTTTTCCATTCTTTGTGCCTTCGTGTAGAGTCAGTAGAAGTCTTGGATAGTCCAAGGAGCGATGCTTCATTGTCTCCCCTGTTATTTATGGTGTGGGTTTGCTAGGCACTCCACCCCAAATCTCCCCCAGCTTCTCCTGTAGTACCCAGATCCCTGTGTTAAGTGCTTCCCTTTTGTACTCACCTGCAAGCTATTATTTCCACAAAATTTAGTTAAAAACCCTCTTGATCAAGTTCCCCATGCTTCTTCCAGGCACATTCCCCCAGGTCTTATGTAGTGAAGCCCATCTCTCTCCAGTAAGTCATTCATTAAGAAAGTTTTAACTGTTGTCCCACAAACCAGACTTTTCTATAGCCCATTCTCTCTCTGTAGCTGGTCACTCTCCTGAAGCATTCTTCTCTCTGTTTGTGGTCCTCTACCTTTTGCAGATAGAATTGACAAGAAAACCACCTGAGCCCCAAGATCCAGAACTTTGTAGTCATATGTGATGTGTTCATAGCTATGCCTGGCATTGTCATTCATTCCCATGTGGATGAGGAAGAAGGGATAATGACCGGTGAACTTGATAAGTCTTGGCAAACTTGCCCATCACATCCTGGATCCGGGGAGACGGCCTTCTTCACACCTGGACAGGTTCGGTTGGCACAGTGCCACCTCTGTACCTCTCAGTCCATGGCCATCACCACCCTTCTCTTTCTGCATGTGTTGGTGGAGTCTTATATGTCTTTGAAGGGTTAAGAGCAGGGGTCAGCAAACTCTTTCAGCAGGGGGCCGGTCCACTGTCCCTCAGACCTTGTGGGGGCCAGACTATTTTTGGGGGCGGGGTAGAGAGAAAATAAAATTCCTGTGCAAACAATCAGAGGTGCATTTTAAAATAAAAGGACAAATTCTACTCATTTAAAAACACCGCTGATTCCAGACCGGTCCGCGGGTCGAGATTTAGAGGGCTTAGTTTTGCCTACCCATGCTTAAGAGTTTCCATCCACCTGTTGCAGCTTCCTCGTTTAGATAAAGTGGTGCTCGCAAGAGCGAAATTAATTCATTCCGCGAGTTTTTGTCGTCTTGCGTTTTTTTCGTCTTGCGAAGCCACAGTGTCGGGAAAGTTTTGGAAAAAGCTTCAAAAATCACCAAAGTCTTTAAAAAACGCTCAAATAAAGCTACCAACCGGGCTATGAGTTTGCTCCTCGAAGTCAAGTGCGCAACTGTATTAACGGTGTTAAGAAAAAGGAAACAAACTTGCAAGACGTTTCCGTCTTGCGAAGCAAGCCCATAGGGAAAATCGTCTTGCGAAGCAGCTCAAAAAACAAAAAACCCTTTCGTCTAGGGAGTTTTTTGTCTTGCGAGGCATTCGTCTTGCGAGGTACCACTGTAGTCAGAACCACTCTCATCTGAAAGGTGCTGAAAATGATGCATGAATTTCAGTGGTTCAGAATGCTTTCTGATAGACCACTATGAGAACAGAGTCCTGGGCTGGGTGGGCCTTTTGCCTGATCCTGCCAGCTCTTCTTGTGTTCTCCATGCAGTGCCCCCCCCCCCCGCGCCCCGCTCTCGTCTTCTTTCCTCTGACCTTCCTGCTTCAGTCCTTGTGCTTCTTCATTTTTACCTTCTGTTCTTCAGAGAAACAAACTTCAATTTGCTGCAGGTGTAGTCCATGTTACTTTCAGGCAAGGAAGAGGATGATTTATTTACTGATTACATTTATATATCACCTTTCTGTCCAAGAAGCTCAAAGGTGGTATACATAATTCCTCTCCTCCCCATTTAAACTTCTGAGGTAGGTCAGGCTGAGAGCTAGTGACTGGCCCAAGATCACCCAGTGAGCTTCATGGCTGAGTGAGGAATTGAACCCTGCTCTCCCAGGTCAGAGTCCAACACTCTAGTCATTACACCGCACATGTTACAAGTCGTTACTGCTGTCCCATCTCCTTAGCTCTTGTTGAAGTCCTAAACTCTGCCTTGACAAGGAAGTAGCCCCTTGCTTATTCCTTCCTTCATTTATTGCCTATAGGTTGCCTGTGTGTATTGCTCCCAAACTTTCCCCCTCATGGATCACTTGAAAAACTGCTGAGGCAGACCACTTAATATTCCCCGTTCCCCGCCTGTTGTAGCAATTTCAATGTGTTGTCCTCGATGCTGTGTGATTTTTAAAATTGTATTTTGTTGCTTCTTTTGTTTCTTACATTTTATCGTATTGTATTACAATTTAAATCCCAAATAATAAAATAATAATAATAATAATAATAATAATAATAATAAATATCTTTATGTCATTACCCCCTCTCGGGGACAACGAAACTTACTTGACTGCTCTATAAAAACACTAATTAAAAACCAATACAGTATAGTACAGCAAGGAGATTAGATGACTTTCAAAGTCCAGGCTCCCATTCAGGGCTGAGATCGCTTCTGGAGAAGAAGCTGTTCTTAAGACGGCTCGTTCTTGTCTTCATCGTCCTTCACAGGCATGCCTCGGACCACCTGAATGATGTTTTCGGATCGCTGGTGGTCTGCAGACCGCAGTTTGGGAACTCCTGGTTTAGACGATGAATTTGCCTGCTTCATAGAGATTGCGGGCCAAGCCCCATTAAGCTAACAGCAATCCCAGACAGAATCATCATCATCATTCATTCATTCCTCAGCCACTCTTCAGCAGAAGCTGCTGGGTGGATTTGCAGAGGAGCTGCTACCTCAACCATTTTCATACTACTATGAATCTTCATTTAAAATCTATTTCGTAACATCACTTTTAAAAAGTAAAAGCAGAGGAGCATAGGAAGCTGGCTTTATGCTGAGTCAGACTCTTGATCCGTTTAGCTCAGTATCATCCACAATGACAGGCAGTTGCTGCCAGGATTTCAGGCAGGGGTCTTTTAATGCCCCACCTGGAGATGCTGGGAGTTGAAACTGGGATCCTCTGCATGCAATGAAGGTTCCCTGCCTCTTGACTTACAGCCCTTCCCCAAGGGTCTCTAAAAGTGCAGTTGGGAATGAGCATTTTCAGCTAATTTATAAAAAGGAGTGTGGAAGAGAGAAGAGTACAGGAAGCTGCCAGAATCGTAGTCTGAACTAACCCTGTTCTACAATCTGTCTGCTCTGACTATTGAAAGTTGTTGAGGGTCAAAATGATTGCATCCGTCAGGGGCTGCTCCAATCAAAAATTCTATACAGAATGGGAATGCATAGGGGGATACATGGAGAAATATGGCGTTAAAGCAGAACTCTTAATAGGCAATTGTTAAGCATGTAAGGACAAAAAAGTAATTATAATTTATCAGTTTTCATGTTATTTTGTTAAAGCAACGAGAAAAAAATATTATGTTGGGAAGATCTCGCACAGGTGAAGGGAAGCAGTGGGGAGGAGGGGGGGTTAGGTTGAATTTGGGAAATAAAATAATATATGGGACAGCAAAGGATATAATAGATTCTTATAGAATAGTAATATATTGTAACCAGAATAGAAGTTCAAGAGGGGAAGTAAATGTACTATTAGTATTTTCATTATTGCAGTAGTTATTATTATTATCATCGGTAGAAGGCGATGTTAACAGACTTCTTCGTTTTGCTGTCTGTATAATTTTCTTAAGTCAATTTTTAAAAAAAGTTGTTGAGGGTCTTGGATGGAGAGCTTACCTCTCACCTGGGACCTGATGCTGGAATTTGAGCCTGGGAGCTTCTGCGTGCAGATCATATGCTCTGTCCCTGAGCTGTGGTCTTTCCCCTTCTGACTGGGATAGCTCAGTCAGTAGAGCATGGAGCTCTTATTCTCAGGGCTGTGGGTTCGAGCCCCACAATGGGCAAAAGATTCCTGCATTGCAGGGGGCTAGGCTAGATGACCCTCAGGGTCCCTTCCAACTCCACGATTCTAGGATCCCCTTAAAGAAGATGAGAGGTACCTTGTGTTCTGGTCTTTCAAAAACCCTGCTGGATTGCTGTGCCCCACATACCAAATCCATCAAGGCTTTTAGGTTAGAATCATAGAATTATAGAGTTGGAAGACACCTGGGGGTCATCTAGTCCAACCCCCTGCAATGCCGGAATCTCTGCTAAAGCATCAGTTTAAAAACCTCCAAGGAAGGAGAGTTCAAAACCTTCCAAGGGAGTCTGTTAAACTGTTTCCTCGTGTCTTCCGCGTGACAAACCACTTAAATCTGGCTTGCTTTTTATTCTTCAGTCAATCGCTGATGGCTTTAAAGAAGCAGTACAGTATGTCCTCCCTCGGCTCATGTTGGTTCCTGTTTATCACTGTTTGCACTACTTTGAACTGTTACAGGTAAGCACATGCTCTTCGAAGGAAAGCAGAAGTTGGGACTTATTTGTGTTTATCAAGGCCAGATCTGTTGGTGAAGTATAGAGCGTTCTTGGCACCGCTTCTGTTCTTATGCAAAGAATGCTGGGCTAGGAGGACCTCGATCTGACCCAGCAACAAACTTCCAGTGTTAGGCAAGAGTACATGTTCAAGGGTAAACTTAAAGTAGGTTAGTTATGCCGGCTGCTCAGAAATCTTTATCATATATAAGAAGCGCCTGCTGGATCAGGCGAAAGGTCCACATAGTCCAGCAATCTTTTCTCGCTGTAACTGACCAAACGCCCCAAAACAAGGACTCAAGTGCAACAGCACTATCCCGACTTGTGATTCCCAGCACCTCCTGGCCTGTGTTTCATTTTAAAACACATCGGTGGGCCCCAACGTTTTAGCTAAATGCATTTTGGAAGACCAGTTGCCGTTCCAGTCATCCCAACCCTGGACTAGACTGTTGTGTACTTCACAATAGCTGGATAGTTCACCTGGTAGAGCCTGAGGCTCTTAATCTTAGGGTCATGGGTTCAAGTCATATGTTGGCCAAAAGATTCCTGCATTGCAGAGGGTTGGACTAGATGATTCTCATGGTCCCTTCCAACTCTACAATTCTGTGGTTATGTTGGCTTCTGATTTTGAAGAAAGTAGGGCCAGAGGCAGAAGAAAGTCCCTTTCAAAGCCAAATGTCAGTGTTATGCCCTACAGGAGTATAAAGTAAGGATTGCCGTCAGTCAGGTATCAAAGAATGAATAGCTCCTAGGCACCGTCTTTGTAATTAAAGCCCTGAGCCCACAGTTCCTCAGAAGCTTTCATTTTCACCGGTGAGGCAAGCTTTCAAAAGCTTCCAGAGATAGTTTCATGAATAGTTTTGCAGTGTCTGCAGGAGGAAGTGAATTTGAAAGGACTGCTCCACTTTCGGTGACTTGACTTCAAGGAATGTTCCGTATCATGACTGCTTGGAATTTTGTCATAGAATTTGGAGCAGCCCACTGCATCCTGCCAGAAAACGTACCTGTATGACGGCCACACAGATGTTTTAGACATCCTGCTTGATCCTATGCACATTTGCTCATGGGAAAGCCCTGAGGAAGCTAATGGAATCTACTTCCCTGCGTGCTACACAAATCCTTTTTTCCTGCCCTCAGCAATTGCTCAGGTCTGATGGAAATAAACGTCTTTCTTTCAGCAATTGCAATACTGTAGTAAAGATGTAGAAGACTGCGAATGCTTGAAACAAGCCATCACAGCTCTCCTTAATCTCCAAATGTAGCATGGAACGCATCTATAACAAGCACTCACCTAGACGCCGGCCTGGGTAAGGAAGTAGCCTAACGGTGGACTGGCCATAGCCTGAGACCTTTGGGAACACTAATTCATAGGTTGAAGTTTGGAGGGGGGGTCGCACTGCAGG